TCATTGCTGCAATAACAAGCGCAGAGAAATGACTAAATGTACGTTTCAAGGGAGATTACATATATTTTCCTTTAAGCATATGTATGTATTATAGACTTCTTATTTTTCTTGAGATGCAAGAGCATAGAACTCTAAAGTCGATAAAGTTGATCCGAGTACTGATTGGTTGCCTTTTTTTGGTTGGATATACTTTCTTCAGTAGCAAACTCAGAACTACGATTCACGGCAATTGAGACTAAAAGCACTTTTTCCAATACCACGAAATTTAGGGATTCGGATTAGCTTAAAATAAACATACCATATCTAAATTTACGAAACTGCGCAGAAAAGGCAAGTCTTACATCTGTGTGTATCCAACAGGTATATGTAAATACCTATATCTACACATACAAACAGACGTCGCTACAAATACACGAAATAAAGCTTAGAGCGTAAAACACGCATGCGCTGTCTGCTGATCAACTTGAGTTGAGTTGAACTGAACTCATGTGAAATGAGCCCAGTGCAGAGCTGGGCTTGGCTTGGCCCTTCATTTGTCGTCGACTGCGGAAGTAATTTAACATTTTACAAGAGCAGAGGAAAGCGCTGCACACGCACACATGTTTACCTATTTAGTGCGCAGAATACTTTAGTGATGCCATGTTGCTGTGTTTGCTCTTCACTACACTACTCTTGAACCAAAGTCAACTCGAAATGTGCCAACTTTAATTTGTTGTACCCTCTTCATATATTAAAATATTTTTTTTTTTTTATTTAAAAAGTGTTTATTTTTTTCTTGTTGCCGAGCATGAGCAGTGGAAAATTCACACAAGACAATGTATGTATATATGAATGAGTTTGTGTGTGTGTGCGTCAAAATAAATGAGTTGGTCATTCCCAAGCGGCTTTTACTGTACAAACTTGGCCCGATTTGCGACTTTTGCGCACAATAGCGGAATTACTTGGCGGACAGTTGTAATAACAATTACATATATCTTAAGCATACTTATATACATATACATATGTATATTAGGGTGGTTGAAAAAAAATTTTTTTTTTTAAATTTATTTTTTCTAAGGAACCGTGAAAATGTCGCCTGCAACTACGGCAAAAAATTTGGGGTATAAATTAAATAAAAAAAAAAAGAAATTTTAATAAAAAAAATTTACGTTTAAGGTTGGATTCACATAACTCTGCAATAAACCGATTTGACAAAAATCATACTAAACCATTTTTTCAAGAAAAGTTTTTTTTTAATATATTTTTTCTAAAAAACCTTGAAAACATCATCGTAATATTAAAATCAACTGTAAATAATTTTATAATTTGGAGGCATTACTTTGTGAAAGAAAATAAAAAAAACTTAAAAATTACCTTTTACGATTGAATCGAAAAATTTTTATAGCGAGTGAACTTGGCAAAAAATCATTTTAAACTTTTTTATAGTATTATATATTTTTATTATATATTTTATTATTGATATGGGAAAATAATTTAATAAAATAATATTAAATTAAAAAAAAAAAATTTTTTTTTGTTAAGTCGACTCGTTCCAAAGTTTTTAGACGACAATATTAAGAGCTCAGACTTTGCCAAAATGTGTTCTTGTTTAAAGATATTATCACTATATCTAAGGAAAAACGCGAAAAAACGACGTTTTTATTAAAAAAATTTTTTTAGACGCACCCTAATACCCACATGAATTTGAGCTTTTGCGCTTCTTATTGACCATGATATATACACAAACACAGCGAGGAAGCAACAAATGTGCGAAAAGTGGCTTAAAGCGTATTGCGAATAACAAACAGTTATACATATACAGTACAGTTGACCGTTGTTTTTGTTGTATTTATAATTATAAGTCTCGCAAAGTCTCGCTTTAAAGTCTTTTGTGCGCGAATTCAAGCGGGTTTTCATATCTGTCTTCATGCTTTTTCGAAGCTTTTGGCAAAATGTTTGCTTTAATTTGTTTTCACACCGTTATTTCTTTAACGGCATTCACTTTTTCATGTCGGCCGCGCCACACTCGCATGTTGTGGGTGTATGTTTACGAGCGTTGTGACCGAATTGTGAGCCAATTATTTCCCATGTCATGGCTGTGCGGCCATTTTCGTGTGAAACGCCAGCGATGCGTGTTCATTTTCGTCTCGGATTGTGACACAAAACCCACGCATGCACCAAAATGCCAGCATTTGATGGCCCGGCTTTTTTTCTTGGCGCAAGCTTTAGCTCTTACCGTCCTTATACGTCTGTATATATGTTTGTATTTCTATACATGTTTTTATTTCTATATATGTATGTGTGTGTGTGAGTGTTGGTAACCAAAATCTTAATTACTTTTTAATTGCATAATATTTTTATACATATTTAATGCTTTAACGTCTGTCGTGGGTGTTGTTATTGTTTCGAATTGACATTTTATTATTGTTGTTGTGTTGTTATTATTATTATTGTTGTGATGTTCTTCATGTAAAAGTTGATCTACTTACGCGCTGAAGCGGCATGTAACTGCGATTTACATATTCATTTGTTTCCATTTTTTCGCCACCGCATATTTTTTGTGCCCCACATCTATGTATCTGCGAGTGTGTATATGTGTGTGTGAGTGTGTGTTAATATTCGACAAATGCTTTGAAACGCCTGAATTTCCGTTTATGAAAGTTTTACACAGCGATTACACTTGTCCAGCCAGCCATGCTTGAAAGCGCTTGTAAAAAACTTACTTGCTCTGCACCCTCCTTCCACCACTCATTTGATAACGTTTCGTTAGAAATCTATAGTAATTTACATACATACATAGATATGAGCTTCGGCATTAAAAAATCTGTAAGCTATAATTTGTTAATATTTTTCCACGTTTAATTTTAATTTAACAATTCCCCGTTTCAGTTTCTGACTCTCTCGCTCTCTTTCTTATCACGAACTGACAGCTGAGTGCACTGCCATTTCTCTTACAGCTCATTTGAACAAATACACATAACTAATCAATTGAAAAGTCCCCGGCATAACATAGTAAAACACAATTAAAGGGTGAGGGTGATACCCCGATTATAGCACCATTTTTGTAGTACGATTTGACCTTTGCTTCAAAGCAGGCCTAGCTTACGTTGATCTCCTCTTCATTCGATGAAAATTTCTTCCCAGTGAGCATTCGTTTGCGATCTGAGACGATAAAATAATTGTTGGGAGACCAGATCTGGATAATGCGGTGAATTCGGAAGCCATTCGAAATCCAATTCATTATGAAATAGTCGCTGGGTGTCAGATCAGTGGAAAACAGTGAATGCGTAAGCCATTTAAAGCCCAACTCATCGATTTTTGTCATCGTTTCCATTAACTTGTGGCACAGCGCATTGTCTTGGGGCACTTCCGGGCGTTTTCGTCAATCAACATTTTCAATAACGCTTTGTAATAGTCGATGATATAATTCAAAAACTAAGAATAATCTAATAGCTATCAAATTAGCATACACACGCTTCTTGAAGGTAAACATAGGCCAGGGGACTTTTCAACTGACTATTATATTAACAACGATTAACAGTTTTTATTACAAATATTCCCTAATTATACAGCTGTGTAATTTTATCAGTCCCTGTAGGAAAATTGGCTAGACTAGTATTTTAAAATATTATGATAATTACTATATATTATTACAGTAAGCGGTGTCTACCCAAATAAAGGAGAAGAAGAAATTATTGTTTCTTTCTTTGAAATATACCTCATTATAGCAATACTAAAATAGTGACAAGTTTCAATTATTTACTATGATAAGTGCCGTCATAATTATGTTCACATTAGTTATACATTGTCCAACTCATATGAAGTATTGGAAAACACGAACTACTTTGATGATATAATATAATATAACTTTGATCGAGCAGACACCTAAATATATTAACATCAAAAATAGATATGATATATATTATTTTCAAAAATTATTCTTACGAAATTTTATAAATTTTCTCATTCTTCTTTTACACACTGCTAAAATTCTCTAAATACTCCGCACCATTGCCAATTTTACTTTAATATTTTAACCACAAAATTATTAGAAACTGAATGGTATTCCGCACCGTTGCCAATTTTACTTTACTAACCGTTATTTTAACTACAAATCTATAAGAAAGAAGCTCGCTTTCCTCACGGGGTCTGCGCTTCAGTATTTTTATGCGAATAGTTGTGTGTACTTTACAAAACAAGCATGTGAAACCCGTTTAATAAGTGTAAGCAAAAAAATTCAATATTATATGCGCTGATGTTTGTATATACCGGCGTACATACATACATATACCTGTAATGGAATGGGGAGTACTAATTACAATACTTTGAAAATTCATTGGAAATTCCTTTTTCCATAGAAACTACAGTTAACATTTTGGAATTACTTAGCTTAATTAAATAGACGTTAGATTTGCATTTCGAAAAATTGATAATAAATAGAAAAAGTTACGTTTTTATTTTACGGATTCTATCAATAGTATTCAAGAAATTAGAAAAATAACCTTCAGTAATGATATCTTAAAAAAGAATTAAGGCCGCGTTTGAACTGAAAACATTTTGTAGTTTCCCGATATTTGACCAATAGAAGAATCCGAAAGAACTTTCTTTGACATTTATTTTTTGAATATTATCTCTTTCAAATGTTGGTTTATCCGTTGAGCCCAATGTTGAAAGGGCAGCTCCTGAGTCGCTTCAAGTTGCTCTTGACTGAGCCAGAAAAGGCCTTAATGCAAAACAAAACTACTGAATTCTTAGAACTACACATTTATAATATTCATATATAACATAACATTTTTATGACAGCTAAAATGATATTATTTGACCGGGCAATTTATTTCAAAATCAATAAAACTCTCTACACTCAAATAATATCAAAGTGAATTTTCTGTATAATCATATGTAAATATGTTCTGTAATTACATGCATTTACTGCTTTAACATTTAAATGTTTATTTGTATATTATTTATATTATTTTATTTGTACATTCTTATCATTAACTTGTCTGCTCTGCTCTTTACAGCTTTCATCGCATAAGGTCAAATATTTGATGTCTTTCTCAGAACACAGCAAACAAAACAAATAGCAGATTACACAAAGCGATAACCCAAATTTATTTGCTTTGGGAAATTGCTGATGATGTTGATGATGCTGACGTAAAATACCAAATTGCCATTAAAAAAATTCATTAATTTACACACTGATCAGACAGAGAGTTCTATCTTTCTCCAAACCGAAGAATTCTTGGGAAATTTACAGCTTAGGTTTTTGCTTTTAAGGTGAACAAATAAGTGCAGTGAAGAAACTCTAACGAAAGAAGTGAAAAATATTCAGGTGAGTTTCATAAAAAGTTTAATTACATACTATTATCTTAGTATATAGTAATTATTTTTCAATTAGTTTGCTGCTCGTGTAATTATAAACCGTCAACTATAGCCGTCCAAAAGCTGGTAATAATTAATCAAATATTCAGGAAATCAGTTATAAGTCATTGATTAGTTTCACCTAATTTTTTAACGTCATCAAATTTTTATACTCTCGCAACAATGTTGCTAAAGAGAGTATTATAGTTTTGTTCACATAACGGTTGTTTATAAGTCCTAAAACTAAAAGAGTCAGATATAGGGTTATATATACCAAAATGATCAGGGTGACGAGTAGAGTTGAAATCCGGATGTCTGTCCGTCCGTCTATCCGTCCATCCGTGCAAGCTGTAACTTGAGTAAAAATTGRGATATCATGATGAAACTTGGTACTCGTATTTCTTGGCTCCATAAGAAGGTTAAGATCGAAGATGGGCAAAATCGGGCCACTGCCACGCCCACAAAATGGCGAAAACCCAAAACTTATAAAGTGTCATAACTAAGCCATAAATAAAGATATTAAAGTGAAATTTGGCAAAAAGGATTGCATTAGGGAGGGGCATATTAGGCCGTAATTTTTTGGAAAAGTGGGCGTGGCCCCGCCCCCTACTAAGTTTTTTGTACATATCTCGAAAACTTCTAYAGCTRTGTCRACCAAACTGTACAGAGTCGTTTCTTTTAGGCATTTCCATATACAGTTCAAAAATGGAAGAAATCGGATAATAACCACGCCCACCTCCCATACAAAGGTTATGTTGAAAATCACTAAAAGTGYGTTAACCGACTAACRAAAAACGTCARAAACACTAAATTTTACGGAAGAAATGGCAGAAGGAAGCTGCACCCAGGTTTTTTTTTTAAATTGAAAATGGGCGTGGCGTCGCCCACTTATGGACCAAAAACCATATCTCAGGAAGTACTCCACCGATTTCAATAAAATTCGGTACGTAATATTTTCTTAACACCCTGATGATATGTACGAAATATGGGTGAAAATCGGTTCACAACCAAGCCTGAAACCTCGATTATCACTTTATCATGCGAGAGTATAAAATGTTCGGTGACACCCGAACTTTGCCCTTCCTTACTTGTTAATATTATATAACTTATTTAGCCACCTCAAGAGAGGGACAGGAATAGTTCTCTATGTACCTGAGTGGAAAAGTTCTGACGAAAGATCGACTAATAGTTAAGAATTTTTTACGGTTCAGTTAGTTAAAATCAGCTGAAAAGTAATAACCTGAAGATCGATTTGAGGGAGATTACTGCACAATATCTACAGGCAGGGGTCCTTATCCAGCTTTATCAACTGAGCTACCACATGGTTGTAGGATCTCTAAGAGAGAGTATTGGTGAATTGTATTTCCTATAATTTTCTAATCACTATAAACGCTTCTTAAAAGCTCCTAAGACGATGTACAACAAGCTTTCAAGCTTACACGTCGTTGTAGGTTGTTAAAGTGAGAGTGTTAGTAAATTGTAAATTGTAAAAAATAGCATGAAGCTTTATAAAAGCTCTTAGGGTGATGTACAAAAAGTTTTTAAGTTTCTTAAAACACGTTTTTCAATTCAAAAAATATCAGTGTTTAAAGTGTTCTGACGAATGACTATGAAGCCTTATTAAAGATCAACTTAGTACAACAAGATTTTAAGAGCTTTTCTTTTAACATTTTTTAACTTTTGAAAATTTCTTTTTTAACTTTGAAATACGATTATATGAGATTTTAGATATTTATAATGGGCTTCCAATAAAACAAAATTGTCTGAGAGCAAATAAGGGAATAATTTGAAAGCTTAGTTGAAGGAAAAAAGTTAAGGAAAAAATTATGCGAGATATTATGATATAAAAATTTTGCTTTCGAATCTCGATTCGTTTCTTGAAAAATTATATCAAACCTATACGCGAACCCCTAAGCAGTGAGGAGCTTTCGCGTGCATTTTCGAAGCTTTTCCTAAATGTTTCTACACTACTCCTGAACGACTTCAAATTTTTAGGCTTGTTTATATGACGATTAGGTAGCCTTTTACTCCGGCGCAGAGTCATTAGATACGACCTATGTATAGTATGTATCGTTCCCACGGAAGTCGAGTTCAAGTTACTGAAACGGACCCGGCAAAGGGATGTCAACTTGGTACTATTCTTCGAAATTACTAAAGGAATACTTTCTGCTGCTACAAAAAAAACTTGTATATATATACATATATATACTATGTATATTTTGATTAAAATCAAATCTATAGACAAAATCGGGAGTAAAATCTCACCTATCCATATTCTTCGAATACAAAAGTTGCCCTCTCTTTACTAAAGATTATTCCAATTTCAAACACTAAAAGAAATGTTCGCAAATTTTTCCATTTCTTCCCACCGACACTAATGAAACGCGGCAACATTATTCATATTTGCTATCAAAAAACAAAATCCAGTGAAAAGTTGGAATCTTACACAAAACTTTTATGTGCAACTTAAGGGGCGAACACATGTTAAATTCAACAGCGCCACATATGATTGCCGCCACAACCTCTAAACGAAGTCAACTGGCTGGCTTCCCCCGAAACTAGAACCCACGTGCTTGAGTTCCCACAACTCATTGTATGAATATACTATACATATTTGTGAATGTGTGTGTGTGCGTGTGTGTAAATATACACACATGTGTGTGTTTGCGTTTATTCAACCGCATTTTAGCCATCATTTTACACATTACGCGGCATGGCAGCGCACAGGTTGCACAAGGAACTTTTCGAGACATTTAAACAGACGGCAGGCGGCGACTGCGCTTGGCGAAGACGGGAAACATGCGAATGTTCCTTATGTAAAGCGTTTTACACCTTCAACTCTGCGCTCCACACGCGCTTCACGCTCATGCCTCTTCACTTCACTTCTCTTCACTTTATTTGCAGCGCTCCGCTTGCCTGCCAGCTGCTTGCATCCACGCAGCCCATAACTCAAGCATCGCAAAACGTTGCAAGATTAATGGCACCTCAGCTCGAAACTATTTAGTTGCAACCTTCGCCGTTACACTTGTATGACTGCATCTGCGGCCACTCTATCAAAGGCGTTGCACGTGCGCCGACGCTCTTATATGTGCGTGCGTGTGTGTGTGTGTGTCTATGCATATGCGGCGCTACAATTGCTGTTATTGTAATAATTCGTTTGGTACCTTTTCGTTTTATTGCGTTATAAATTAAGTTATATCATATTCAAAAGGGGAAAGGCACACAAATACACATACGCTTACATATTTACACACAGACTTGGTTATCTGTTGCTCGTTCGGTGTTACCATCACTGCAGTTAGATATATATAGTAAATGTAATATGTGTGTGTATGGGTATATGCAGTTAAAATTTTCTTTCCCATAGCTGTTGATAACCAAAGCAGTCGTCCAAAAAAAGCGCAAACCTTGAGAAGTGAAAGTGTAATAATTATTTTCGAATATGCTATATAAGCACTTATTCGCTTTTATGAAGTTAGTAATATAGATATAAATATATCGTATGTATGTCTTCACAAGCTACTAATGTGAATTACTCATTTGTCTGCTTTACGGCGTTGTCGTTATAACTCAAAGGTTTATAGCTCAATCTACCATACACTATTGCTAGATATGTACCTACATAAACATACATACATACCGACATACTAATTTATAATTATAGTTACTTACGTAAATCTAAGCGGAAATTGGCGAGTTCACAGACCTTGCTGCAGTGAAATTGTTATGTTTGTGGCCAATATTTTACCTTGAAACCACTTCCAGCCAATTAAATCTAAAGAAAGTGAGGTTTCCGTAATTATTGTACATGGGATGTTTTATATTAAGCTGCATTAGTTTAGATTTGCTCTACAATAATAAAATAATAATTTTGGAATTAGAAAGTATATTTTTGCATACAAAAATCACAAAACTAAAGAAACGAGTTAAAATAGACCTCTCTCATCTTCATCTTCGCTTTCTTAAAACTTGAAATGATTGATTGAGGACAGTTGAAAAGTATTTATAAACTTCTAGTTGGGCATAAGGGGGGATGTTAGTGAAAATGCCTGGAAGAGGATCATAACCACGAACAGAAATCAAAAAGTGTGGTTTTGCAGGGAAGCTTCTTTGATGAAGTTCAAAAGTGTTTCAAGTTCAGATTGGTGTCGGGCAGCAGAGAGTGCTTTCGCCGTTGTTATTTAACTTTCATTTCGTTTCACGGAATTCCTTCGACAAATAGATGTTAATTTAGATTTTCTCAAGAACAGAAAATTTCCTTGCTTGTTTGGTTGTAGTAACCACTTTTGAAAGACGTTCGGCTGCAGCTGGAAGATCGGTAAAAAATGTTATAAGCCAAACCAACTGCTTGCTTACTTGTAAGCAGAATATTTTGTATGATCTAATAGTATATTTCTAATAATTTTAAGCTTTTAAATATTTACTTATAAAAACATAGAGAATTACTTATATTACTTATGGCTAAAAAATATTTTCCACATTTTAATACGCGTCAAAGGGTTTATTAAGTTTGGTACAAGATTTTTAACACCCAGAATAAAACGTCGGAGATATTTTATACAACATAAGACGTAAATTTACCCGTGAAAGGAGAATCGACGCTCACCACCTCTTCGTCGATTTCACAGCTGCTTTCGACAGCACGAAAAGGAGCTGCCTTTACGCCGCGATGTCTGAATTTGGTATCCCTACAAAACTTATACGGCTGTGTAAGCTGACGTTGAGCAACACCAAAAGCTCCGTCAGAATCGGAAAGGACCTCTCCGAGCCGTTCGATACCAAACGA